CACTACGGATCATCGATTAACAACCAGTTGAATGAAACTCGTCACTATACATCAACTTCATTGACTATGAGAAGGCGTTTGACAGTGCGGACAGGAGAGCATTATGGAGCCTTCTTCGACACTATAGTGTACGTGAGAAGATCGTGAACATCATCTAGAATTCATAAGACGGAATACAGTGCAAAGTGGTGCATGAGGGACAGCTGACGGACGCATTGCAAGTGAGGACGTGTGTCAGACAAGCTTGCTTACTCTCTCCCTCTTTCTTCTGGTGGTCGACTGGATTATAAAGACCTCGACATCTGGTGGGAAGCACGTAATACAACGAACAGGTTATTATTTATTTCAATAGTTGAGATTATGAGTCAATTGAAGCTAGACAACCATGGAAAACCTGGAAGCACTGGACGGCCGTTTCGTCCTATTGTGGGACTCCTCAGCAATGCGCATCCACGACCTACAATCTCCACAAAAACGCCTGCCTGATGCCTGTTACTCCTTGTGAAGGAATATAAGCCGCTCACCAGCATTCGCCATTCAACCCTGTCCTGAGCAATCCTTTCCAGCTCCTTCCAGTTGTTATTCATCCTTACCAGATCTGCTCCTATTATCCGACATAATGTGTTCATAGGCCTTCCTCTTTTCCGTTTCCCTTCAGGATTCCAAGTTAGTACTTGCCTCGTGGTGCAGTTTGACGATTTGCGTAATTTATGTCCTATCCATTTCCACCGTCTTTTCCTAGTTTCCTCTTCAGCTGGAAGTTGGTTTGTTCTCTCCCACAGAAGGCTGTTGCTGATTATATCCGGCCGATGGATGTTGAGTCTCTTGCGTAGACAGCTACTTACAAATACTTGTACCTTCTTGATGGTGTTTGTTGTAGTTCTCCAAGTTTCAGCTCCATACAGTAGAACTGCCTTGACGTTCGTATTGAAGATTCTCACTTTGATATTGGTTGAAAGTTATTTTGAGTTCCATATGTTCTTCAACTGTAGGAATGCTGTCCTTGCTTTGCCAATCCTCCCCTTTACGTCTGCATCTGAACCTCCTTGTTAAGAATTCTACATCTTCCAGAATTTCGCCATCAAGAGTGAGTTGATTGCTGTTTTCCTCTGTGAATTTAGTAACTTTGGTTTTTCCCTTGTGTATGCTGAGGCCTACTGATGCAGAGACTGCTGCTACATTCAACTGATTGTTCAACGATGATCCGTAATGTCGCAATTTGGTCTGTGCACGACCGATCCTTACGGAATCCAGCTTGTTGATCTCGATGTTGTGCATCCACTGCGTATTTCTTTCGGTTTAGCAACACTCTGTTAAAGACTTTTCCTGGTATTGACAGTAATGTGATGCCTCTGTAGTTTTCACATTTGCTCAGATCTCCTTTCTTTGGAATCTTGATGAGATGTCCTTCTTTCCAGTCCATCGGCACTTGTTCCTCCTCCTCCAAAATCTTCTTGACCTGAAGGTGAAACATGTTTGTAGTTACTTCGATTTCTGACTTCAGTGCTTCAGCTGGTAAATTGTCGGGTCTTGCTGCTTCCCCACTCTTCATTTGTCTGATGGCAATCTGACGTCTTCCGTCGTTGGTATATTGACATCTATAGGAAGATCTGTGTGTGCTGCTTTGATGTCCGGTAGATTCATTGAAGCCGGCCTATTCAGGAGTTCCTCAAAGTATTCTACCCATCTGTTCCGCTGTTGTTGTATTTCAGTGATTGACCTGCCTTCTTTGATCTTGACCAGTCTCGCTGGTTCATTGTATTTCCCTGCTAGTTACCAGAAAAAATAATCCAAACAAAAGCCCCTGGTATTATTTATTCATTTGAACACATAAATATCGATACAAAGGGGCACCGAATCCATATGCGCTACACAAGTTACTTGATTTGTGGAATAAAATGGACAGGTTGGATGCAACTAGGTGATTTGACTTAGAAGATGACCTCACTCTTCTATCCTATACACACGAACAAATACAGATGAAGACAACTAGTGTAGCAGCATTCTCTGCATCAATGGGCCTCAAAATACACAAAGGAAAAAGCAAGCTCCTCAAATACAATTCGGAAAACACTAATCCAATCACACTTGATGTAAAAGTCCTGTAAGATATGGAATCTTTCACGAACTTGGGAAGCATCATCGATGAAAGTGGAGGATCTAATGTAGACGTAAAGGTGTGGATTGGCAAAGCAAGGACCGCATTCCTACAATTCAAGAACATATGTAACTCAAAACAACTGTCAGACAATGCAAGTCAGAATCTTCAATGCGAACGTCAAGACAGTTCCATTGTACGGAACTGAAACATGGCGAACTGCTACAATCATCATCAAAAGAGTACAAGTATTTATAAACAGTTGTGTAAGCGAGATACTCAATATCCGTTGGCCGGAAATCATCAGCAACTCCCTACTGTGAGAGATGACAAACCAACCTCCAGCTGAAGAGGAAATTGGGGAAAGACGTTGGAAGTGGATAGGATATACACTACGGAAATCATCAAGCTGCATCATGAAGCAAGCGCTAACTTGAAACCTTGAAGGGAAAAGGGGAAGAAGAAGGTCGAAGAACACACTACACCGGGAATCAGAAGCAGACATGGAAAGGATCAATAGCAACTGGAAAGGATTGCAAAAGTCAGGGTTGAATGGAGAGTGCCGGTGGGCAGACGATGGTGATGAAGTTAATGATGGTGACAGGCCATTTATTTTTCATAGAATCAAGGAGTGATAGCGCTCAGAACCTAAAACTCGTTTTGAGCACGATGTTAAGTTGATCAAAGATCTACCAAATGAGCTAATGCCACAGGATATCTCCAGAGTCACCTTGCTAAATTTGTTTAGACTTAATAGCCAAATGAACTTGAAACAGGATCAGACCAGGCTGCTTAATGTAATATTTAAATCTCCCAATGAACGAAACTTAAGACTACGGAATGGACACAAACCTAATGGGCAAGAAGTGTTTGTCCGTAAGGATTTGCCGTTCGCAGACGGTGTGAAAAGGCGAGAGGCCGAAAAATAACTAAAACTTGGGTTAAATGCTAACGAAAAAGACCTATATTTTTGGGTTGTAAGGTCTCAACAGGGAGTGATGCCAAAGCCTCTTCGGGTGCATCATGTAGTCATTTAATTAAGCTTTGATCCTGATATACAAATGCCCAAAGCTTGTTGAACAAGCGAACGGAACTAGGCTTATCAAGCCGAATGTAATGACAGTCACAGAAACTTGGTTGACGCAGCCCACAGACAATATGGAACTCGATTTCGAAGGTCTCACGTTAGTAAGAGCCGACAGAATCCGGAAGCATAAAGGAGGGGTAACTATTTATCAGGATTGCTATCCCACTTTCCATTAGCGACAGTGTATCCCATGAGAGTAAATTAGCTAGTTGCCGCTTAAAATGCAACGGAGAAAAAATGCTGAGCTGTGAGGTAAATGAGGTCTTGTTAAATGGTCTCAATACTTGGTTATATAGTGATCAGTGTCTTATCCTAGAACACTTTGACGCACCCACAATGGACTGGAAAAACCTGAGCATTGAATTGTTAAAAAATACCTTCGAACAGGAACTAGCTGATGCGGTTATCACATGTGCCCAATTGCAACATGTGAAAGAAGCGACTATGTAAGACCCGAACTTTGAATCCTCCTTACTACATATTATATTGACCCATTATAAGGATGACGTCACAAAACTCGATTACACGCCACCCTCAGGTGGATGTAATCATAAAGTTCTAATCTTTGATTTCCATACAGCTGTCAACGACGGACAGGCGTCAGCCAAACCCAGACTTAACGTCCAGAAAGAAAATACAGAACATTTTATGTACTTAACATCGTCAGTAGATTGAACGATAAAGCCGGGGACCCAGTTGTATTTCGAAATTTGTACTTAAAAGTTACTGCACCCCACATCACTTGGACAACACCATGTGGTCCAAGAAACTCTCCACCATGGTTCAGTAGGGGAGTTCTCACCCTTCTGTGTAGGAGAAGAATGAACGAAAGATTTAAGTTACTGGGTGCTGATGAGGCAAAATATCAATATCGTGAAGCTAGGAATATTTGTGTCTTGACCCTCCGTGAGTCTTGAAGGTTATGCGGAAAAAAAATTGGTAAAGAATCTATAGAATGCTTAGACGCTTGTATTCGTATATATACCAAATGACTAAGAGAAGAAGAAATATCCCAGCACTGTGGGGCGACAGCAATGCTCCATCTTTAGTGGAGGACGACTATGGTAAAGCTCAAGTATTATCAAACTACTCTAGCAATGTGTAAACCGTAGGGATACACCGCTAGTTCATACAAATCCTCACACAAATACAATGGACAATGTGGTCATTAAATAACTCGATGTCTTTGTCTGCTAAATAAACTTAGTATAGACAAACCCTCAAGGAACCAAAAAATTTCTGTACGAACCCCTTGAGCATATGTTTTAATCTATCCGTAACGCAGGATCGATTACCAGAAGACTGGAAGAACGCCATGCTAAGTCCTGTCTTCAAAATAGGTACGAAACATATATCTCAGAACTACCGACCAGTTGGCCTGACTAGCGTGGTTTTTAAAATACTAGAGAGGATTATTTAGAAGGAGCTGCTTACGTATCTCGATGAAAACCGGATTCTTTCTGAAAAGTAGCACGGCTTCAGAATACATAATTCCTATCTCATTGACTTATTAGTAGCTCGTGAAAATTGGTGCCCTCTGAAAGACAAAAAATTACCAACAGACGTTGGATTAACCGAGCTAACACCACTTCCAGGACAAACACATGCCATCTAGCCTGCTGTCCTTTCCAAACTGAAACTGATTATCCACACAGTGTGCATTTTAATCCCGATATATCAAGTTTGTAACCTGAATATCCACCAAAAATAAATCAGGGTTTCATCCAATACATCATGAGTATGTCTATTATCTATGCTAAAGACCAAATTGCTTAATGTTATAGCCACTGATAGGGAGAACTGGTTTGTTTGACTGCACCATTGCAGGGTCGTACTTATGGACATCAAGGTTAACATCGATGGAGTACTCAGAGAAGTGTGTGGGATTAATGAAGGAACAACATGTGAAGAAGTGATTTTTAAGCTTGCACAGATTGCTAGTTTGCCTGGATTCTATACTCTGGTTGCCAGCTGCAAAGATAAAGAAATTACACTATCTCCAGAGGAGAAAATCATAAATTTCATTAAAGAGTATGATAATTTATCTAGTTGAAAACTAATTATCATTTAAAGCACAAATAAGTTAACCTTAGTGCTGATTTTGACTTTATTTTTATATGTGTTTGAGGTAGCATATTCTGGTTTTCATCAGTAGTTCTTTAAAATAAGCCTAGTAATTTGCTCAGTAATGTAACCTCCAAATGAACTTACATAAGATTTTACTGTTTTCTAACAGTAATCTTTCTTGTGAACCTGAAAATTTATCAGAAAGTAAACTTGTTTCTCTTCTCCATCCTTTTAGAAAACCGAGTAGTAAGGGCAGTGAATTTTGTACTTGTGGTGATTATACTTGCTTTTGGTACTTATTGCACTAAAAAGCATTCTTGGTCGACTTTAACTAAGAGTTCTTTGGTTAAAGTTCGAAATTTTTGCTACATTTTGTCCTGAGTACCTGTTTTTAGTCCTTGACTAACACTTGTGTTCACATTGTTATCATTTTTTGTTTTTAAACCTTTCAAATCGAATTACAATGGTTGGTAAGACTCACAAATGTGGGCAACCAAACTGTTTGTTCCCTGTGGAAGAGGGGATGCAGTGTGACGAATGCCATAAGTGGTTCCACAAAATGTGCACCCGCTTAAGTCCCACCGCATACAAAAGATGCTCGAAGCCTAACTCACATTGGCTTTGCATGTTTTGCTGTGCCAACAAGGCATTACTAATACAGGAGGCTATGAGCCTGTTGGCTTTGGCCTGTAAAAAGAAGGATGGCATATGCGCCGACAACACGGGCACTGACAGCGACGAATGTGTCAGTGTAATACCTGCTGTTACGCGACGCCTCAAACAACCGACTCTGACCGACGTAAAAGTGGAATCTTCGTTGACATTAACAGGGGGAGTAGTACCACCTGGTACTGACATTGTTAATAATGCACCTTTAATGGGAACCGAAGATCTGGACAAAACAGTCACCGTTCCAAATAGTCCCAGTGTTATGAGGGATGAAAAATGGACTACGGTACGTAGGAAACGAAACGAAAAGAAAAAAGCTGTAAGCAGTACACAGGTAGTTAGTAACTCACTGGTGGACCCAAATTGTGAGCCACAAATTGCACTACCAAAATCTGAAGGTAAGAGTGAAACCCATCCTGGCGTGACTGAGAAGAAAAATCTAATAACATCGAATATTATTGTGAGCAAATTGCGGGAGTCAAACGACCCTGATCCGAAAATTAGACACGCCCATGACTTAGAAAAGCTAGGAGAATACATTCGTAGTATTTTACCAGATAACTCCAAAGGAGTTCAGGTCAAAAAATTGGTAAGAATAGGCAAGAGGACCGAGGACAATGTTGAACCCCGTCCATGCAGACTCCTTAAGGTAATCCTAGGATCGGAGAAGCAACGGGATCTCTTGTTAAGTAGCGCTCGTTGTCACGACAATTCTGACATCCGAGTTAGACCTGACATGTCTCTCGAAGATAGAATAAAAAGGAAAAAAGCACTAGCTGAACTTGAGACCCGTCGGCAAAACGGCGAGGAAAATCCCCGACTAGTGGGTTTTCGGATAGTCAGGTCTTGGAAGCGAATGCTACCAAGGCCTGTGTGGATAGGCTGTTCTACTTAGGAGTTTTATATGCCAACGCTCGTAGTTTACGAAATAAGTTCTATGAACTAGAAGCACTAGTAGACAGGTTAAAGCCACTCATAGTAGCAGTGACAGAAACTTGGTTAGTCCATGACTTAGACATTACTCCAGAATTATCCGGATACCATTGCATCAGGAGTGATAGACATAGATGTAGGAAAGGAGGCGGCGTCCTGTTATATATAGCCAATGGCATAAATATCCGCTCCTCTACTAGCGAATCCCATGATAGTGGCACTTGTGAAGTCATTAGCTGTAAGTTGGCTATAGGATGTAGTACATTTATACTAAGTGTCATTTATCGGAGCCCAATCTGCTTAGCTGATGACTTTGTTTTAGAGCACATTCATCTTTGGAGTGATAATACCAGGTGCTTGATAATAGGAGACTTTAACGCACCTGATATTAGTTGGACTGATATGACCACAGAAGGATCTATAAACTCCTTTGATAGTAGGTTACTGATAACAATAATGGAGCATGCACTAGTGCAGCATGTATCCCAACCCACACGTTTTGGTGTTAACCAGGGTTCTTCTCTGCTGGATTTGGTAATCACTCATGAGACTGAGGATATTGTCAACTTAAATATTCTTCCACCGTTAGTAAACAGCGATCACGCTGTTTTGTCATTCGCGTTAACAACTAGGGACATGTTATACGATCAGGTTACACCGCGCCCAAATGTATGGAAAGTTAACATATCAGCCATTCAGGAATGCGCTGCTAAGACAGATTGGTTAGTAGATACTAGCATATCAGTTGAAGAAGCATGGTCTGTATTTAAAGGTAAATTTAGACTAGTTACGTCCCCGTTCATACCATACCTGGTACCGCGAAGACCGAATAATAGTCCACCATGGATAACTAAAACGGTCAGGAAACTCCTTAGAAAAAGGAAGAATCACTGGAATATGTTCATCTCTACTGGCTTAGAACAATACAGATCCAGTTATTGTAAGATTAGGAATGCCTGTAAAGCGTTAATAAGCAAGACTAGACTATCATACGAAAAACAATTGGTTAGGGATTCTAGATATAGTCCGAAACGGTTATTCTCGTATATAAAAAGGCAAACTAAGAGAAGCGATGGAATTCCATCACTTTTGATACGAGACAATCCGTTAATCTTAGCAGAGAATGATGCCGAAAAAGCTGAAGCTTTATCGGAATATTTTAGTAAAGTGTTTTCTATCGGTAATGAGGAACGACCAATGATTCATCGTGACCGTGACGGCTCGCTGATGGATCCTGTAGTCATTGAGCAAGATACTGTTTTAAGGATACTTCAGCATCTCAAACCTGATAAGTCCAATGGTCCCGATGATATTCATCCTAGGATTATGAAAGCCATATCAGATGAAATTGCTGAACCATTAACGATACTATTCGACATGTCTCTGAGACAGTCCAGACTTCCTAGAGACTGGAAAGACGCCATAATAAGTCCGGTGTATAAGGCTGGGAGTAGGGATTTAGTTAGTAACTATAGACCCGTTAGCTTAACTAGTGCAGTTGTGAAACTGATGGAGAAAATCATTCGGATAGCTGTTATAAACTATGTTGAAGGGCAAAATCTTTTCTCCAGGGCACAACATGGTTTTCGGAAAGGCCTATCTTGCTTGACAAATCTTCTCATTGCACGAGAAGAGTGGGCTGCGGCGAAGGATCGGAATGCTCCTGTGGATGTAATTTTCATAGACCTAAGTAAAGCCTTTGATAAGGTTTCACACTCTGGTCTTAAATTCAAACTGAAACGTTTTGGAATCCATTATACAGTCGTCGATTGGATAAGTAACTTTCTCCATGACAGGGGACAAGGGGTAAGGGTTAATGGGGCTCTCTCTTCGTGGGTACCTGTAAAAAGTGGGGTTCCCCAAGGCACAATCCTAGGTCCTCTTCTCTTTTTACTTTATGTAAATGAATTGCCAACTGTAGCAAAATCATCCGTTCTACTCTTCGCTGATGAGATAAAGATTTGGAGACCCATACATAGTATGTCGGATAGAATAGTATTACAGGACGATCTTAGCTCATTGGTGGCATGGTTAGACAGGTGGTCACTAGAAGTAAATCCTAATAAGAGTGTAGTGATGCAGTTAAATAACTCTGATGAATCGTATGACTATACACTACGTGGATTCGTGCTACCCAAAGCAAGGAACTATAAAGACTTACGAGTTATATTAAGCAATGATCTCAAAACGACTAGTCACTGTAAGGCTGCTGTTGCAAAAGGCTATAGGGTATTATGGTCAATTCGTAGGTCTTTTCAGTATTTAGATGATGAAATGTTTGGATTACTATACCCGATTTATGTGCGACCACATTTAGAATACGGGATTCAAGCAGCGAGTCCTTGTTTCAAATATGAAGCAGATATGCTAGAAAGAGTCCAACGACGAGCTACTAAGATGGTACAAGGTCTAGCTGGCCTATCTTATGAAGACAGACTGAGACACCTTAACTTATTTCCGTTATCTTACCGTAGAGTACGGGGTGATCTAATATTGGCTTATCGTATACTGAACGATGACCTTGGTATTACCATGTCTTATCTTTTGCTTCCGTCTAGAACCGGTCATTTGATAGGACATTCGAAGAAAGTTCAAAAACCGAGATCAGACCGTTTACGTCTGGAGTTCCGTTTCTCGCACCGAGTAGTGAATTGCTGGAATTCCCTACCGGAACACGTAATATCAGCACTGTCTGTTAATATATTCAAAACGAGATTGGACCTCCACAGTATTACAAACTGTAAGGATTAATATAGGTCGACAGACCTCCTATCCTTATTACTGAAGACTGATTACTGTCGTCTTATAGAAAGGATTATAAATTAGAAGGTTCTGTGGGTATTTTCTGAAAACTTGTGGAGTGGATTATTATAAACAGAACTAAAGGAGTGATTTCATAAAACTGAGAGCAAAAGCTTCTCGGGCGTCTCCGTCAGGAGGTTGTTATCTTCAAACTAATCTTTTTTCCAAAAAATATTCCGTGAAACCTCCCTCAGTGGAACTGAAATTTTTAAGGAATTCCCTCTAGAAGAACAAAATTGGATAATTCTATTCATGTAATCTAGTTTTCTGAGAAATGCATTACTTGGATTGTTAGCAATGCATGGAGATTCAATCACAATTTATTCCTTTTAGTTGCTTGTTCCACCAACTATTAGACTTTACTAACTTGTATTTGATAGGACGGAAAAGCTGAGACATAGATCAGAAGTTGATCAATTCAAATCTCCATACCTTTACTAACTCAACTAATCAACCCTCGAACAACAGTCATAATTCGTATCCTGGTGTATGGAATTATTTCGGTTTTTCAAGATGCATTCGTCTAACGATTACTGAGACAAAGTGGAATCTAATATGGT